CACACGTGCACACATACATACACATACACATACACACACACACGCACACACACGCACACGCATGCACATGCATGCACGCACACACACGTGTAATCAAAGCGCACTTACTCGACTTGTCTGCTCCGTTGACGGCCGTCTTCAAGGCATCGACAGCGCCCGTGTCAAGATCGCTGCCGACGGCTTCCACCACCTCCAGCAGCTGCTCCGTCTGCGCAACCTGCTCGCGCACGCGTTGCACCTCCTCATACTCCCGTTGCGCCTTGAGGCGGAGCTGGCGGTATTCGTCGCGCTGCTGCACGCTGTCGGCTGTCGCGCCGCTGCTGGCCTGCTGTTGCGTCGATGAGCCATCGCCCTCGCCCTGTGAGCTGACAGCGGCCATGTTCGGCCACTCCATCGGCAGCTGTCGCCAGTCTGACGCGTTTGTGGCGTCGACAACGTCCCCTTGCGGCCGCATCAGCCCGGAGAGCTGATCGATGGCTTCCCGACGCCCCACATGCCCGTGAACGCTCCGCATCTTCTGCAGTGCCATGTCGTTTGCTGCAACGCGTTGCGGTGTCAAGAGAGTGCGTTGTGAGTGGTGGGCAGGTGACACCACCGTTGATCGGTCACAAGAGCTGCAACACGGCTCGCACTCACACGCATACAAACTGAGCATGCACGCATACACATACACGTGTTCGCAGCACCTTTCTTGATGGCCTTTTTGATGGACTGTTCGGAGGGCATGGGCTGTGCGTCATCCTCGTCCTCTCCCAGATCCATGCGCATGGTGTCGATGTTGGGCCGGAGCGCCTCAAACGATGGCAGCGAGTGCAGCAACTGCACTTGCTGATGCACAAACTCCCCTGCCCTCTCCATTATGTGTTGTGTATGTGTATGTGTGTGCGTGCGTGTGTGTGTGTCTGTATCTGTCTGTGTGTATGTGCGTGTCTGTGTGTGTGTGTGTGTGTGTGTGTGTGTGTGTGTGTGTATGTGCATGTGTGTGTGTGCGTGTGTGTGGGTGTGTGTGT